CCTTTGGTGACTGCACATGGGATGGATACTCAGGTGGAAAGGTCTTCAGACGGCCCCTCCTTCAGTTTCTGTCCCTCACTTTGTCTCCATATTTGCTCCCTTGAGTATTTTGTTGCTCCTTCTAAGAAGGACCGAATCACCCCCACTTGGTCTTCCTTCTTCATGAGCTTCATGTGGCCTGTGAGTTGCATCTTGGGCATTTCAAGGTTCTGGGCTAATATCCAATAATCAGTGAGTGAATACCATGTGTGTTCTTTGGTGATTGGCTTACCTCACTCAGGATGATAATTTCTAGTTCCATCCATTTACCTAGGAAACTCTCGAATTCATTGTTTTTAATAGCTGAGTAATACTCCATTGTGTAAATATACCACATTTTTTGAATCCATTCCTCAGTTGAAGGACATCTGGGTTCTTTCCAGCTCCTGGCTATTATAAATAAGGCTCCTATGAACATAGTTGAGCATATGTCCTTGTTATATGTTCGAGCATCTTCTGGGTATATGCCTAGGAGTGGTATAGCTGGATCCTCAGGTAATGCTATGTCCAATTTTCTGAGGAACCGCCAGACTGATTTCCAAAGTGGTTGCACCATCTTGTAGTCCCACCAACAATGGAGGCATGTTCCTCTTTCTCCACACCCTCGCCAGCATCTACTATCACCTGAGTTTTTAATCTTAGCCATTCTGACTGGTATGAGATGGAATCTCAGGGTTGTTTTGATTTGCATTTCCGTGATGACTAAGGATACTGAACATTTCTTTAGGTGCTTCTCGGGCATTTGAGTTTCTTCAGTTGAAAATTCTTTGTTAAGCTCTATACCCCATTTTTTAATAGGGTAATTTGGTTGTCTGGAGTCTAATTTCTTGAGTTCTTTGTATATATTGGATATTAGCCCTCTATCAGATGTAGGATTGGTAAAGATCTTTTCCCAATTTGTTGGTTGTTGTTTTGTCCTATTGACAGTGTCCTTTGCCTTACTGAAACTTTGCAATTTTATGAAGTCCCATTTGTCAATTCTTGATCTTAGAGCATATGTCATTGGTGTTCTGTTCAGGAACTTTTCCCCTGTGCCCAAGTATTCGAGGCTCTTCCCCACCTTCTCTTCTATTAGTTTCAGTGTATCTGGTTTTATGTGGAGGTCCTTTATCCACTTAGGCTTGAGCTTTGTACAAGGAGATAAGAATGGATCAATTTTCATTCTTCTACATGTTGTCCTCCAGTTGAACCAGCACCATTTGTTGAAAATGCTGTCCTTTTTCCACTGGACAGTTTTGGCTCCTTTGTCAAAGATCAAGTCACCATAGGAGTGTGGGTTCATTTCTGGGTCTTCAATTCTATTCCATTGATCTTCCTGCCGGTCTGGATCAGAGATTTTGACTGTAGGATGGCTACCCCATCTCTCACTTGATGCCCTGTCTTTCTTCTGAAGGTAGGCTCTCTCTCCCTCTTCCCACTGTAGGTCATTTCATCTAAGGTTCCACTCTTTGAGTCCTAAGAGTCTCTCACCTCCCCAGTCTCTGGTACATTCTGGTGGGTCCCCCAACTCCTACCTCCAGAGGTATCCTGTTTCCATTCCTTCTACTGGCCCTCACGGCTTCTGTTCTTTTCCCCAACCCAATGTATGATCATGTTCCCCTCTTCCCATCCATGTCCCCTTTCCCACACAAGATACTCCCTCCTTTTCCCCTCCTGTGATTGCCTTCCTCTCTCTACCAAGAGGTATTGAGGTATCACCACTTAGGCCCTTTGACTTGCTAACCTTTTTGAGTTCTATGGGCTGTATCCTGGGTATTGTGTACTTTTATTGGGCTAATATTCACTTATTAGTGAGTACATACCATGCATGTCCTTTAGGTCTGAGTTACCTCACTCAGGATGATATTTTCTAGTTCCATCCATTTGCCTGAAAAATTTAGGATGGCCTTATTCTTAATAGCTAAGTAGTATTCCATTGTATAAATGAACCACATTTTCTGTATCCATCCTTTTGTTGTGCAGCATCTGGGTTGTTTTGGCTTCTAACTATCACAAACAAGGCCACTATGAACATAGTGGAACACGTGCCCCTGTGACAAGGTGGGGCATCTTTTGGATATATTCCCAAGAGTGATATAGTTGGATCTTCAGGTAGATCTATTTCCAATTTTCTGAGGAATCTCCAGATTGATTTCCAGAGTGGTTTTACCAATTTGTAATCCTACCAGCAATGGAGGGGTGTTCCTCTTTTTCTACATCCTTATTGAGGATTCTTAAATGTTTTAACCTCCCTTCTAGTCCACCATCCACCAGAGGTTGTGAAAAAGAAAGGGTACAGGGGAAGTGGACGGTTTAGAGATGGTTCGTTGGAGCAGATCCCATCTGCATCATCAGAAAAACAGCAGTTCAATTTACAGGTCAGCATTGACAACATGATCAAGTTGCAAACAGTTCATGGATATACCAGTAGTCCAGTTCATTCAGAAAGGATTTGTAGCAGCAGGGATGCTTTTCTCAGCAAAGACTGGAGACCAGGAAGCCTTGCACAGCTACCTGTATAAGCAAGACAAGCCTTGCCAAGCCAAGCCTCCATCACTGTCGGTTGAGTTCTATTTATACTCCTTCCAAACATCACATGTCCTCCAGAGGTCTTTCCTCAGCATGTGAGTCTGACTTAGCAAAACTTCAAGTGAGCCTTTATCAGCTGACATCACTCTGAAAATCATACCAAGTCTGTGGAAATGGAAAGTAGCCATGGGTTTCCACCAGAAAATTTTTAGTGTGTTTCTGTCTATGGAGTCCCAACAAATGGAGGTCAGCTAATGTAGTGCAAAGTAATGGCAGACCAGTACATGTATGTCATTAGAGAAGAATCCTCCATCACATGTTCTTTCAGAGGCTTGCTTTAGTAAAATATCCTTTCACCTGTGTCTGCTTCAGCCAAACGTCCCTTCAGGAGTCTGCCTTAGCCTTTTATGTGTATCCTTTCAGAGAAACATTCCTTTACATGTTTGCCCTAGCAAACAGCATTCAACAAAACTGACTTTCCAAAGAATGCTTAAGTTTCCATTTCATCAGTGATAATTGATGTCAAGTCATCTATAGAAGAGTGGTTCTAGAGAATAAGAATAAGAAAATTAAGAAAAAACAATGTGGTGTCTGAAGTATTAGAGAAATGAAGCTCTTCAGAATTGAAGCAAGAAAGTCTGACGTCTATGGTTTGCATAAGTTTAAAGAAGTCATTGGTGTTTCATCCACGCTGTCAGAAGGACAAGAGAGATTGTAGCAAGGTCTAGAAAACTGTTGTGGGGAAAAGCAGAGCCCAATGAGGAGGAGTGGTGAACAATGTGGTGAGTGGTGTTTCCTGCTTCCCTTTAATTGTGGAGACTTCCCATTGTAGAAGCATTCAGAATGTAGGAAGTCTCCAGCCTTCACAGCAGTGTGTGTGTGTGTGTGTGTGTGTGTGTGTGTGTGTGTGTGTTGGGATGAGGGTGAAACATTCTTATCCAGGGAACCTCAAAGAAGGAAATTGAAAAAAGTGAGGTACATGTTAAGATATAAAGTGGAGATTTGAAAATTGTAGAGTGCTTATTTATGTGGAACATAAGGGCCACAGAAGAAGAGGAAATAATTCAGAAGGAAGATATGGAAGGAGAAAGAAAACAATCAGTTCTTTGATGTTAGTAGAAACAATGAATGATTATTTGTATGGTGGTTAATGATTCGTTTTTAAGCCATGGCCATGATTTGCATTATTTTGGTTCATCTTCTAATCTGTTGCAAATGTCTCAACAGTTTAGGGATAAAGAAAAAATACTTTTCCAAAATATTCTAAGTTGCCCTATTGTTGCATTTAAATACATCTAGCAACTCAGAGTGTAGCAAGTCCTTATATGTTCAGCACTTTGTGGTGTGGAGGAGAAACCCTTCTATTTGTTTCATTTTTTTCAACAATAAGCAATTCCCTTGGTGGAATACCTCCACGAACATGAACATACGAGCATATACTACACTGATACTCACTTATACCCCTCCCCCCAACACACACTTTTGATATTCCAAACTGTAGCTGAGATATTTTCTACAGTTCTTTAGGAAAATCATTTTTGTGGAAATTGATTCTCCTCAAGTGAACATCACTAACCCCCTTCATTCAACATTGCCTGTCTCATTTTGTGGACTTTCTGCTCTGGCGCTATATTAAGTGAAGTATGTTCTCTGTGTTCCTGATTCAATTTTCAACACTATCAGAATTCCTTTTCCAGCATTGGGTACAAATTTAATGTGGTATTCCATTTTAGTTTTCTGTCAGTACTTATAAAAAAAAGCATAAAATACTCCCTTTAAAATACTATGTGCATTTATGCTTTAATCCAGCTTTCTGAGAACCTCCTCTTTGATGTTGTTTTGTTTCATAGCTTATTTTACTTATATTGGGAAGTCAAAAAAGTCAGGTCCTGACATTTAATAGTTGTAAGATTTTCATTTTCCTTTGTGTCTTAAATCTTATTTTTCATTTAATATATTTCATCAATTCTTTCTAGAATGATAGTTTTCTATTGATCCAAACTTAAATGTGGAGTGTTTTATCTAGTTCTAAGTATGTCAGTAGATAATGTAGGGAGAGTTTCTCTTGCTGTTTCACCATAAAACCTGAAATATAAAATGTATATATGAATTCATAATATGACATAGTTATATCATGAATATGATTATTATTATATTATAATGATGACTGATACTGAAATTTCTAGTATCAGTCAAATCTTGTGAGTGCCTGCTATACTGATTGGTGAATTTCTTTCTCTCACTTTTATTCAAGCAACTAGGTAAGAAAGATGTCCTGGCTAAGCTATTTCGCTATTATGATTTATAGAAAAAAGTATAAAATAAAGAACAAAATTCAATGTTTTATGAAACATAGCTTCTCTCAGTACCACTAACAAAAATAAGATGCTCTATTTCATAATCAGAATTTTTCATCTTTATTATTATGATTTGTTTATATTTGGTCTCAACAGAACCCAAAGGAACAAGAAGGGATTTTAGAAGTTATGATAAACCTTGGCAGATGAATGCAAAGAAGCCTAAAAAATCAAAAAGTGACCTGGCTGTATCTAATATTTCTCCTCCATCACCAGACTCCAAGTCATGTAAGTTGTTACTTAAATGTTATTGAATTGGCAAGTCTTTGCAGTCTTGGAAGTAAAGAAAACTTATCAACTGAATTCACAGTTTACCTTTGTTTTTGGTTATTTGCTAATCCTAGTGAATCTACATCGGTCCCAGAATCTGCATTGAATCTGATGCACACAACTCTCTCTGCTACTTTTGACCCTCTCAAGTATGTAATTGGCTGAGATCTTTGCTGATATTCTGTTATTTGAAGAATGTGAGCTACATGGAACATGTCTCTTACATCTTCCTGCCCTTTGCAGCAATAGACCTCCTTTGAAGCAGGTCAAGTTTACAAAAGAGCAAAACAAAGTTTTAGAGAAGGGAAAATATTTGTATTCTCAATATTCGAACCCAAATTTAAAAACAAACAAACCAACGACAACAACAATAACAACAAAAAACACAAACAAACAGAAAAACCATTCATCTGACTTCTCTTGACCTCTCCTTGTTATTCATGGCTAGTTTCTATGTCCATTCTCCACTACCTTAGTCACCATTAAGTTTTTCCAATGCTCTATCATGATGACCTGTATGGGAGCTTGCTAAGTGTGCAGGCTTGTACCAATCCCTGGGTAACCTTGGAAGACAAAGAGCTTGAATTTGCTCTTGTACACCAGCTCCCCATACTTATCAAAAAATGAATGATTGGTTTTTATTACAAGAGAAAGGAAGTTTCAGATATGTTTAAAATGTGTTTTTAAAATCACTATGTGTAACTGGAAATTGAATGTGGGTGATGAAAATTAACTCTATATTTCACCTACATAACAATGCTCATTAAACCTGCACAGAGCTGTAGTGAAGAGTATGTGGAATACTAACTTTAATTTTCCATAGCAGATTGTAAATTTTCTGTTACAGGTAATTTATTGAAATTTCAAACTGAATTCTATTATGAGTCATTGTCACATATTTGATATGAAAAACCATACATATTAAACACCAGTCAATATCACAATCATGATAGCATATACCTTATTACAGAAATTGCCTCCTGTACTTGCATGAAACATCCTTCAGACCTTTCTCTCTCTCTCTCTCTCTCTCTCTCTCTCTCTCTCTCTCTCTCTCTCTCTCCTTTATTGGATATTTTATTTATTTACGTTTTGGATATTATCCTCTTTTACCAACCCTGTTCCATAAACCCCCTATCCCATCACCCCTCCTCCTTTTTGCTTTTATACTGTTTTAATTACACCCAAGTATTAAGGTCAGTTCTAGGTTGAGGAACTAGCAATACAATAGATGTAAATATTCAAAGAACAAACAAGGCAATAAACACAAATACTCAATGAACAAGCAAGGCAATAAACAAAGTCCCATGATTACTCCTGTGATCACTATTTCTAAGGGCTTATCAGGAAGACCAAAATATAAGAGCCTACTTGCCTGTCCTACCCCAAAGTCATTTTCATGCCTGAAGCCTACTTCTTTTTTCTAGCCTAAGATTTATATTCCTGCCTGAAATTCCTTCTTTGTTCTAGCCTAAGATTTATATTCCTTCCTGAAATTACTTTCTTGTTCTAGCCTAATGTCAGATTCCTGCCTGAAGCTCATTTCCTTGTCCTTGACCAAGACTCCTGACAAGCAGCCCCTAAAGCTCTTCACATCTCCCCCTTTTTTATTTCATAAACAACACTGAGCCTGTCTTAGGTCATTCTGACAAGAATGCCTTCCTTACCCACCGTGGAATATGCATTATCAAAAGCAATGCACTTTTGTCTTTGGTTGGTAAGGCTTTTTGCAGAATCTTACCTGTCCTTGGCTTTCCAGCCTGTTAAATTAATAACTCTGTCTGGGAGTCCATTTTCAGTTTTAAACCATGTACTTTGGCTGCCAACATGTTGATATTGTTAAAGACAAGCTGTAACACAATAGGCAGGAATGAAAGTATTCCCAGGACAACAAGGTATGGCATGATCAAGCTATATGTGCCATTCTTAACACTTGACCGAAATGGAAAATCTGACCTCATGCCATGGATAATTTTATCAGCATTATCTGCAGCATCAAAGCTCAGCAGAGCAGCATTCTTTATATTCATAATCTCACTATGCAAAGTTAGGTGTTAGAATTATGCCAAATACCCTGCAAGTGTCTTTAAACATTTTCCTAATTATAATGACTATCATTGTAAATTTTAGAAGTAACACAACTCCATTGGTATTTGGCATGACACTCGAGATAGCTCCTTACTCTTAAACTCTGAACCTCCTTTCAATAATTTGAATAGGATAAAGAGAATCAATCGGGTGTTCCAATTGCCTAGCTAAATCCTCTTGTATATTCAACACATTAGTAACATTTTTTGCTAAATGATTAACAAAAGTAGCTGTCTTAACTTCTTGTGTTAATGCAATTGCAGAAGCAGTGGTGCTAGCAATTAATGTAATTAAAGCTGTTATACCAGCAATAATCAAGCCCACTACACTCTTGCTTCTGCTTAAAGCCTAACTCACTTCTTCCAGTACTTGAAGGCTTCTTTCAGAAAATCAGGGTTCTGTTATACTCAAGTCAAAAGCTGATTGATAGACTACCGTAACAGACATGCTGGGTTTCAACACACTAACACAAAGAGAATGTGTACCATCAATGCAACTTACAATAAATACTTTAGAAGAAACTAAAGTAATTTTACCTTAACAGTTAAAAGAGCCTTAACATATGCATTAACATTTGTTTGAAATCCAGGTCCTGTCCCAGCTTTATCTCTTGCTAACATAACATCACAGAGAACTGCAGTTAACTTCCAAATATGTCTCTTAAAATGTCCAGATCCAGCCTTCCAAATGAAGACTATTATTTCCAATATTGGATTGATTTCTAGACCAGTCCATGATTGAGTCTGAATAACTGGTCACATTTAAGAAAAACTCAAGTGTCATTATAACTTTTTGATTCTCTGTCCCACAAAGTCTCAAAACTTGAGGTTAGGCAGCTTATCCCATCTGGGACGTAGGAAAGCAAAGGTGGGTCAAGTAAGGCTGTATGTCCAATACAGCTTCTTAGTCACTATTGTCAGGGCACTCAGCAAGCTCACAGGTCAGCATCATTCTTTGTCTCAACATCAGCATGTCTCACCAATCACTTTGGTAGCCACTATGCTCCTTCAGCATGCAGAAAAAACACAGACATGTCCTATTCCCCATATTAGATAACTGATCGAGATCATGCCATATGCCACCTAGGCATAAGTATACTTAGTTGTAGGGTGCCATAGACACTGAGAAGAAAGTTCCTATGATCCTGGGTTTGTTAGAGCTCCTGGGAGTCCAGCCTCCCCTGGGTTTGGGGGGATTGGAAGCAGAGCTGACACTCAAGGTCTGTTCAGGGCACCCGACACACACTGGAAGGTCTCTATCTTTATCAACACTTTGATTTTTAAATTTAATTTAATTTGTTTTTACTTATTCACTTTACAGCCCATTCACTAACCCCCCTCCTGGTCACCTCACCCACAATTCGTTGCCCCTCCCACCTTTTCTTCTCTTCTGAGTGGGTGGGAGCACTCCTTGGTATCCCCCTACCCTGGCAATTTAAACCTCTCCGAGTCTAGGCGCTTCCTTTTCCACTGAAGCTAGGCAAGGCAGCCTAGCTAATATAACATATCCCATGTACAGGCAATAGGCTTTCGAATAGGCCCTTTCCATTTGTTCAAGATCCATATGAAAGCCAGGTTAGTTGACTCTGCTGGTTTTCCTGTGCAGTTTCTATCCCTTTTGGGGCCCACAATCTTTTCTCCTATTCTTCCATAAGAGTTCCCAAGCTCCATCCACTGTTTGGCTGTGGGTGTCTTAATCTGTTTGTATCAGCTGCTGGGTGGAGCCTCTCAAGGGACAACCTGCTCCTTTCTGCAAGCACAACAGAGCGTCATTAATAGTGTTTGGGATTGGTGCTTGCCCATAGGATGAATCTCAATTTGGGCTGGTTATTGGTTGGTCATACCCTTCCTTAGTCTCTGCTCCATCCCTTGTGCCTGCATTACTTGTAGACAGGATAAACTTTGGGTTGAAAGTTTTGTGGGTAAGTTAGTGTCTTTATTGCTCCACTGGGCTCCCTGTCTGACAGGAGGTGGCCTTTTCAGGTTCCATATCCCCAATGTAGTGAGTTACAGCTAAGTTCACCTCCATTGATTCTTGGGCATCTCCATTATCCCAGGTCTCGGTCTCATCCTGCAGATGCCCCCACAACCTCACACCCATCAGTTTCAGATTTCCATTCATTTTCCTGGCCATCTAGTCATCTCTACTGTCCTTCCCCATATCTGATCCCAAAACCCACATTCCCTTCCCTATCCTCCTCCATCCCAGTTCCCTCCTACTATCTGCCTATTATGGCTATTTTATTCTTCCTTCTAAGTTGGATTCAAGCTTCTTCAATTGGGCCTTCCTTCTTGTTTTGCTTCTTTGGATCTGTGAAGTGTAACATGGTACCTGTATTTTAGGCTAATATCCACTCCTAAGTAAGTACATACCATACATGTCATTGTAGGTCTGGGTTACTTCATTCAGAATGAGGATTCTCAAGTTCTACCCATTTGTCTGCAAAATTCATGATGTTTTGGTTTTTAGTACCTGAACAGTATTCCATGGTGTTCATGTATCACTTTTTCTTTTATCCATTCTTCAATTGAGGGATATCTAGATTATTTTCAGTTTCTGGCTATTAAGAATAAAGCTGCTATGAACATAGTTGAACAAGTGTCTTTGTGAGATGTTGGAGCATCTTTGGAGCATATGCCTAGGAGTGGTATAGCTTGGTTTTGAGGTAGAACTATTCCAAACTTTCTGAGAAAATGCCAAATTGATTTCCAAAGTGGTATCCAGCTTCAATAGGTTTTTTTGTTGTTGTTTTTGTTTTGCTTGTTTTTTTTTTTTTTTGAGACAGGGTTTCTCTGTGTAGCCCTGGATATCCTGTAACTCACTCTGTAGACCAGGCTGGCCTCGAACTTAGAAATCCGCCTGCCTCTGCC